GTAGGGAAACGCCAATGGGTTTGCTGTGGCACGGCTCAGTCTAAAGGACAGCCCTAGTTAGTGCAACTAGTTTATGGACCTTCTTGGTCAAACCATTGGTACCCAGTGTTCAGCACAATACGTGTCAGATGTGTTTGACATTTGCCATTCTTTCTTCAAAGACTTGAGACAATGAAGATTCCCCTGTAACTTATTAAAGGGAATATATTTGCGTTTTGACCAGGGGCATTGTTTGTTCCTTATGATCTTTCAGCTTTTTCCCAGGCCCTTTGGTCTCAATGATGCACAGTTACTCAGTATTAGTAACTCATTTTCCTTTCCGTACATCTGTCTTAAGAATAATACACCATTTACTTTTATACTGAAATTCTTCTGAAATGTGTCACTTCAAATACAAGCAGAGTTACATACTGCTTTACTTAAACTCTCATAATACTGGTGACAACCAGCCATTGACTGTATGTTTTCTATTTGTCTGTAGTTGAAATAATGTTTTGGGTTCATTAACAAAGTCACTACCCATTTTATTCCAACAGACTTTCAACTCAATCTTTGCTCTAGGTAGCTGCCCATTTCTCCAGCTTTCACGTGGCTGGGATGTCTTCATCCCACCATGCTGGTCTTCAGCACTTCACTAGAGCTTCTGGCTTATCTGCTCATGTGACATTCACCTTCCTCCCCAACCACAGCGCTCTGCTCACTGACACAGTGTCTAAAAGAGACATCCACGGATAATCTAATCCATCCTTTCTCTTTCTAGCAAAACCAAATCAAAACAGCTCCAGACAGATGGCTATTATTAAAGTCTCTATTTCTCTCTTTTAGTTTGATATTGAACCCTGAAGTAGTAAATTGAACATTTTTAAAATCTAATGATTAAAGATTGAAAATTCCTTGGTTCCATGTTCCAGTATCTCACTAACCTTTCCAACCAAAGTAAATGTTTTTCCCTTGACTAGTCTTCCACATACCATCTTCTTCTAGTTCCATTTTTGCAGGAATGAAGTGCACTGCTTTCTGTCCTACTTGGGATTGTCTTTGTTACCTGGGCCTGGAATGGAGTTGACATTCTCATCATGCGATGGAAAAGCCAACTCAATCTCAAAATCTGTTTGATTTGTCCAGGCTTCCTATGCCAGTTACATGAAAAGGTTAGCTAAAGTAGAAACAGGAAAGAAATCTTCATGTGAAAATGACCACTCCGTGCTTCAGTTACTTTGGAGTTGTTCATATCTCAGTGGAATTGCTCCTATCTCTGTATCATTGCCATATTACAATGAAATGGGAACATCCCTAAGTAGGAACTCAGAAAGTTCTAACCTCAGTTAAATATTACTGACATCACTTTTCACTTTTCCAAGAGAAGTAATGTGGTAAACATCGCTATCATGGACCTATACCTGTTTCCAGATTTAAAAAATGAGCAGTACTGACTATAAGACATAGTTCTCTGTCTTCCCTCCTAGAAAAGGACAGTGGAAACTACAAATGAGAAAATGCTAACATGTCAATGAAAGAAAGATTGGAAATAGGTGATCAATACAAATCTCCCTTCCCTAATTTAAATATTTTCCTTGCTGAATTGAATCAGCCAGAGGGAGAGAAGCTCACTTATTATTACTTGAGTGGTTCATTTTCTAAAGAGAAGGGTCTACGAGATGACTTACTATATAGTTTTCCTTTGATCATTTCAAATGCCTTGGGGATTTTTACTCACCACATTCATTCTATCAGGGTTCCAAGGGCAACACTAATCATCCATATTTGTCCCCCAGAAGTGACAAGATGTAACTGACACATGAGATAGATGGAATTTCATTTAGCATATGGTAAAATTTAATCACAGTGAAGTACAGTCAGTTCCAAAAAAGATAGCAAAAATATCCTTAATGAGAAGTTACAGAATGTTATGTTATATGAACTATTTATTATTAAAGAGAATCTATTTTCCTTTGTATCTTTCAACAAGGCTTTTCAAAGAAGGTGGTTTTAAGCACTAAAATTTAGAGTATGGATGTCTTTAGAGCATAAAATATCATATTTTTGTATTTAAATTATAGGCATTCTTTCTGCAATTGTTTTTAACTGAAGTAAAGCCATATGCCTTGCCTTGAGTGTTTAATTAACCAGACTTCGGGATATCTTTAGGAGCTCAGAAAAGCAAGTGTGCTCAAATAGAGTAATCAATTCTGACAACATAGTGTTGTCAGATTTACATCAAAAAGAGACGCACTTTCAGAAATCAGCAAGGATCATTGCTAACAAAATGTGGTGAGTTAGAGTTTCTAAGCAAAGGTTATGAGTCCTTGATTTTCTTTATTCCCTTGTGGATTTTTTAAGGAAGGCTGTCTAAAGTTTTAGGGGTTTTTTGGTTTTGGGGGTTTTTTTGAGAGATATTTTTGCTATAGGGTGCGTGCCCTCGCCAGAGAAACAAAGAGACAGAAAGCAAGAAATCACCCCCCCTGGGGGTGGGGGTGGGGTAGCCATGCCACAGTTCCTTCTTCTTCAGGCTCCTCTCAGGATTTTGGGCACATACATGCACACACCTGGCTTGAGTTTTAAGCCACCAGGTCTGGGACTCGAACTGTGGTCAACTATGTGGGAGTCCACCAACGTAAACCATGCCACCCACTGGTCCCTGTCTGTGTAAAATTCTTGCATGTTTTGTTACTATCAACACATCTCCATACCACTATAACCTAGCTGCTTAAATATCTCTCCACTCCCAACCCAAACAATTCATATCCTATGATCTGCCTGGTGGATTCCCCACCTCTGCATGGCAAAACAAATAGAGAAGCACAGGCTTTTACAGATTCCTGTCTCTTTGTCAAAAATTTCCAGAATAAAAAAATATATATCTATTCAATGACTGCAATAGGATATGTCGCCCCAGCTAGGTGCCACTTTATAGGATGTGTGAAGTTAGATTTGTGTTCATGGAAATGTGTGTGTCACCTGTGTTTGCTATGAGGGTATTTGGATTCATTGGGGTCTTTGGTGATTCAATAAAATGTGGGGGGAAAACAGTATAGAAAGCAAACATTGATACCAGAGACAGTGTGGGAGGAGAATGGGAGATGGCAGAGGGTAAGAGATAGGGAATCAAGGATGGGGGGAAAGTAGGGAGTGGGAAACGAGGGGGGGGGGGGGAGGGCAAAACGTACAGGAAACAAGAAATGGAAGATCGTTTGCTGACAATAACATGTTTGTTGATGTGCTTGATTGAGACAATATACAGTGTACTCTGGATGGAAAATCTCATTTTGTATGCTGTAATGATGTACAGTGAATGAATGCAAATAAATTGAAAAGAAAAAAAACTTCCACAATAGAATACACACAAAGTTAATAACCAATTTTAAAAGACTAATGAGAAAAAGTCTCTTTTTTGTTCCAAATAACTTAGTGCCCTAAATATCTGAAGCTGAAAGGAACCTCAGACAAGCCTCTGGAATGGTCAAAAGGCTGGACTAGGAAGTACATGCCAGGTGTTCCCAAACCTCCAACTACATGCTAATGAATCATTTTCTCTCACTGAACTACAGTCCCCTGACTGCTAAAATGGGATAGGGCCAGCTCTACGGCCCAACAGTGATCCACTGCTCAAAAAAGTCAGATCCCACATGACAAGCACACCTCAGATCCC